CTAAACGCATTGTCCATTTTTGCCACTCCCCTGGTTCTTCCCACTGTGCTACCGGCGGCAGCCCTCTTCAACCTGTGCTACCAGGCCCCCGGACTTGAGGACGGTGGCGGTAGTGGTGGGTTTAAGCCACCGTTACACCTGAGGCAGGCGGAAAAGAAATGCGCGCCAAGCTTTGCCCAACTGCCAGCGGTGCACTTTTTTCTTTTTTTTGACTGGTGCCGCCAGCTATTGTTGTGCGGTAGCCCTGAGCCTACGAAACTTAAGGAGTGAGCCGCGAGTTTTTTGAAGCTTGCTGGGGTGGTGTGCTGGCGGCTTAGCAAGTAAACGACTTTCGTAAAAGTGGGACTCTTAACTGGATGTTTGTCGAGTACATACTAGAAAGGTGAACTCTTAAGTGGCCCATGTTGTCGAATCTTGCACAGATGTAACTGTCGACAACACAGACCATGAGTTCGAGTCCCGCTCTAATCAGAATGATGCAATGATATTGTGGGAATTGCATCGAGGTTTGTCACCCTTACTGCTATTTTGGAATGAAAAATTATTGCTGAGCAGTCGGATGAGATTACCAGCAGTAGCTGAGTCAGACGTGAAGAGTGAGCACAGGGACAGAAGGTGAGTGAGATGTCAAAACAAGGTACAGGGAGACGATGACGGTATGTAAAACTAATGGTAAAGAACGATGACATGTTTACCCATTTACCCCTCTCTTTCCCTCCCCCCCCCCCCCTTTTCGTTTCTCTATGGTTATTTTTTAAACCTGTGAGACTGGAGGTGTCTGAGGGAGTATCACATGATTCTGACGCCGCAAGTGTCAGTTGGCAAATCTAAGAAATATATGAAAACGAAAAGGATGTCGTGGGTCCCCTTTTTCAAGAAATTCAGCTTTTTGCGAGTACAGAAAAGGGAAGGTTGCTCATGCTGTGAATCCCATTGAGTGTATAATCATGCAGGCATAGGGAGATATTTACCGCGTGGTAGCCAGGGTAAAGGTACACCTCACAAGTAACTGTTTGTGGTTTGGACAATTCAGGTCAGTCGTGCAGGGAGCACATCATAAGAGCATTTAATTTTTCACGGCGGTAACATAGGGAACAGGTCCAGCTGAACCTTCTGTCCCCAACCTGTGTCGAATCTCCATCGTGAATTCGTGGCGAATGTGTGCCTGACTGAGCACGAAATGAGAAAAAACATGAAGCAACCTTGTTGTCCAATCTGCGGGCAGGCAACGGATGCTCCTCCCGGCTTAACTCTGGGCGGTGTGTAGCATACATCCTTCAAAGATTTAGAAATTGATACTGGTCACACAGCGCTTGATTGGCATGCCATGGCGATTTCGAGTTTGTGGAGCACAGCGACGGTGAATGCTTATTTGGTGCTTGGATATCATGGGCTTTCCGTTTTCTTTTTCTTGTTTTTTCTTTTTTTTTTCCGTTGAAGAGGGTATAGTACCCTAACATTTTTTTTGTCAATCTGGTTGAAATGGATTTTGAACTTGCGATCTATTCTATTCGTCAAAAACACGGGCTACCCTTCGCATTTGGTACTGATCACAGTAAACGCTGATTCCATGGCAGGCGAACACCATCATGTGCTTAGCCGCCCTGTCGCTTCGAAGTGGGAAAGACCAAAGTTGTCTGGGCGTCTCTCTCTCACCGTCTGGATCCCAGTGTACCTCGGCAAGTACTTCGCCGATCACGGCGGATGGTTGTATGAAATGGCCTCTCAGGTCTGGTTTCTAGATATAGGTCACAGGAGGGAGGCTCCCAAGGTGGTGTGGACGAAGCCGGCGAGCAAGGTTTGTGGAGAATCGCTCTGGAGAGCAGTCAGTATACTGTTCAGACACACCCATACACCCACGCGAAGGTGCTAGGCATAACAGGGGTATGGTGCACAACTGAAACAGATGTAAAGTGTTGTGTCGTGCAACAGGAAAGTGAGGAAAATTAATGGATTTTTGTGCATACGGTTGAGTGTCTGCCGGTCCTTCCGGTTTATGAATTCACTTCCACCTGACTGAATGGGATTTTTGTCCATAGGGTTGAGTGTCTGGTGGTCCTTCAGGTTTATGAATTCACTTCCACCTGACTGAATGGTTTTTTTTGGGGGCCTCACAGACATTTCAGTTGGAGGGTCTGCATTTCCCTTCCGTGATCCCCAGGGGCAGATCTGGTTTTGTCCGTCACTCTTCGTCAGTTGAAGCTGGCCAATAGAAGTGAACCTTATCTATGCGATTTACTCCATATCAAGCATTCCCTGATCTGCGGATGCACCAGCTGTGACATGGGCGATGCATGTCTGCAAATTGGCTGAGTCACCCTGTGCAAGATCGTCAGACAGGGATGGTTCATTTCATTTGAATTACGGGCAAAGAACCTTCACATCGGCAGTGCAGAGGGTCCAGAGAGGGATCAATCCGGCCCCAGAAAATATTTCCGGTAGCTTAGGGTTCGGGCAAAATAGCCTGAGTGCAGTCCAGGTCCATATCTAGGCACCCGGTGCATTAGAAGGGTCCAGTCCAATTCCATTAGAGTCCGGTTCCACGTAAGTCAGGGGTGCAGGGTCCCAGGAGGCTCAAAGAACATCCTGGAAATGTCAAACGCTGAGCGGCCCCAGCCGGTAGGCTACCATGTCTATGAATCAAAGGGCTTGGAAGCTGAGTCTTAACATACTGAACCAGAGCAACATTTGCCGGCTTCATTCATTCAATTCCTGCTTGCTGTGGCAGCGCTGTGGCGCTGCAGTGTGACCAAGTGACAATTGGGGCATGGGAATTGAGGCTTGGGTGGATGTATGCACCGGGTGGTGCTCAGCGCCGTAGCTGCAGTGTACCGTAGGCGAGTAAGAGAGAAGATACTCGGCGAGAGACGATGAGGCTTGAAGGTAAGGAGTGAGAGGTCGTCCTTGGTTGTTGCTCGATGGTGGCCTTAGCCTCCCAGCCAGGAGTATACGAACTTGTCATCAGCAGCAGACTTCAATTTTTGGACAATGGGAGTTCTCATATTGTGTGTTTTGGTTTCCATCTCTTGTGTGCTGAAGTGTGTATCGCAGTGTGGCATGAGATGTTGGTTTGTGGCTTCGGCTCTCATTACGTAGAGCACAAAGTGTTGAGACCCTCCAACGGCACGGGGCCCCTGCGCACTGACGGGAAAATGATTCAAGCAGAAGTTGCATGTCGCCGTGTCCTAAGGAAAGTGGATTTTAAGGGAAGTGTATGTATGGTGCAAAGGGAAAGTGACCAAATAACATGCACTCCGTGTCACAGGTGAGGAGGGCACATCGTGTGAAATAAGAATTTTGAGAGAATGAAGTACTGGGAAATAATCTTTGTCAGTCAAAAAAAAAGATGACGAAAGATAGATATGAATGGCACGGGGAGCTTGCGAGAAAGGAAGAAGAAAGAAATTAAAGAGCAAGTGATGCCGGCCAGTTTGTTGGCATCAGATGCGAGGGGAGTTGTGTTGGCCACAACGTGCCGAGCTGGCAGGAAGGGACCTGTAGAAGTGCGGAGGCTTAGTCCTGGATGGTGATTGGCACTCCACTGAGAGTTGGCATCGAGGGAAAAGTGCGCGGGTTGTGATGAGCAGAAATCTTGAGAATGCTGGATAGTTGCGGCTCCGATTTCCTCATAGAATTTGCTGCAGTTCCTTGTCCAGATTGGGGATCTCATTTGGTACACCAGCTGACAGGGATCTCAGTTGGTACGCCCATCAGGTTCAAGTCCAGATGGAATCAGATGTGAACAAAGTAAAATTTATGGGATCTCATTTGGTACAGCAGCTGACAGGGATATCAGTTGGTATGCCCCTCAGGTTCAAATCCAGATGGAATCAGATGAACAAAGTAAAATTTACCTGGGGCTGGTCAGTTAGATGACGATAATGTCTAAAGCCCATCGCCCTTTTTTTTTTTTCTTTTTTTTTTAGGTTTGGGGACATAACGGACACATATTTGAGAAAATTGAGAGTATTATTATTGTAAGCATTCCTGATTTGTAAGCACAGCCTTCACCAAGTGGTAGGAAAGAGCTTGCAGAGTAAACCAGGGCCAAGACGAAGGAAGAAGAAGAGTAGGGGGTGGGGATAATGGCAAAACAATAGTCAAGTGGTATGATTTCTTTTCTTGCCTTCGTTCTACTACTTTGGGGTACTCCTCTCCTCCCTTGCGACCGCAACAATCATTGTCGTAGCCTCTACCAATGATGAAGCCAATATCCCTCCCTCTTCCCAATCCTTGCCAATGTGCGAAGTCAACCGCCAATGCGTATCACTCTGGCTTGATGAAGAACGTCGCCTGTCAGTGAATTGGGGGCATTCAGAAGGGATGAAGTGTTTCTTTCCTCACAGCAAGGACAATATGTAAGACCATGTAGGCAGCTCTTTAGCTGTGGCTACTCACCCACACTCTCTCTCTCTCTCTCGCTCTCTATCCTGTCTGCCTTTCTCTAATGCTAGGATGCACGGAAGGCTTTGGCATTCAGCAGCGCAAGGGGGAAGGGATGCACGAGCTGGGGTAGAACCGTCTTTTGTAGCATCGACTCATCCTAGCCTTCCTCAGGTTGCCTCCTCGAACGTATAAGATTCTTGTTGATCTTTAGGGCCAAGTGTCTGTCCTTGCCAGAGTGTAGCTACATTGACTTCTTGGGGCCCTGGGCACCTCGTTTTGACTCTGCACTCCAGGTGTGCAGTACTATATCAAGGCCACTCAGGGTGGGGTTTCATCCTAAGACTTTGGCTTGGCCGACAGCCACGGACCGATACTTCGCTGGTTTCAACCTCGGTTTTGCATGATGAAACTGTTCAAAAAAGAAAAGAAAATGCTCATCTTTTTGCCTCCCGAGTGCATGGTCGAGTGTGGGGTTCTTCATGTAAGTGTGTGCAGTTAGTGGTGAAATTTGCATGTCTCAATTTTGTTGTGTGAGGGATGAAAATCTTGAAAATGGCATGAGCATGTCGAGTGGAACAAGCTTCTGACTTCACTTTTCCGTGTTTATTGAGCAGCAAAATTGCTGGAAGAGAAGGAGGGACAGCTCCAATGTTTGCGAAAAGAGGTGGATGGGAGCAGGATAGGGTTGCAACAGCAGGTGTATGCAGCCCAGAAGGCTTTACTGGTAAGCTTTGACGAGTCTCTGCCCAACTCACGTCCCCTGCGAGAACTCCAGCACTGGGCTTAAGTGCAGAATCGCCCTCATAACTAAACCAATGCAGAATGAAGCTGCATGCATCGCAAAGACAGATGTAAGACTGCTTATCAAGCCAGTGCTTCGTGGTAATAGGTGAAGTAGTACAAGGGAGCTAATTGTTGTATTTACTGGGTTCTGGGTAGGCACACTGAAAATGAGTTGTGGAAAAAAGCGGACACGTGTTTGATTGAAATGGGTTTTGGAGAAGCATGTGACTGGTCCACATCGCTGTAATCGAAGCAGCACACGCCATAGGGAGTAAACTACCATCTTCACGCGAATAGAATCCTGCATGGTCATAATCGCTGCATGTAGACTGGAAGTTACCCCGCGAATACAGCTATAATGACAGGGTGTTCTATTCGGAAATTGTGGATGACAATGGTAGTCTAGGATTCGCTCACCGTGCATGGTGCGTTGCAATGTACACACCATGCCATGCAACCAAACCACCTCCTCTCACGAGCTCAGGAAACCAGCGTAAGTTTGTAGCAATACACCAAGCCAGCGTACGGTGACAGCATACGGTGACATCAACACACACCAGGCTGGCCTTCATTTATGGCAGTACAACCACCCATCTTATGTGAACAGGAGTAAACTTGAACCCCTGTCGGAGCATGATAACTTCAACTGTCCATTTATCACTGCTTAATTACTACCGTCTTCACCTGAATACAACAACACCCAGTCATTATGACTGTATCAATTATATCCATAATGGAGGGGAGTTGTATTTGGGTGAAGACGGTATTTAGCACGACTAGTTTATATCATGGTTTGTGAGATCTAACAGCTGTATCATGGGTAAACTAAAGAAGGAAAGAGCTCTTGAACCTGGTCTTGTTCCTCGCTGCGAAAATGGATTGCGCACGTCCTTGCTTGCCACTTTGTGCAAAACTGGTTATGGCCTTGGAGAGTTTCATACCATGATTCAATTGAATTGTGAAAAACAGTTTGTAGTACTGTGTTCGTCGTCAGACAAGGGTGTGCCACAATAGCGAGCCAGTGCATAGAATGATGATGATGCCAACGAAAAACTTCACCTCGTATGTTGCAGGGCTTGCAAAGGAGCTACCAGGCTTTTGCTGAAGATATTCGCAGAACAATGCAGGGTTATTCGGTACTTGATGATCCTGTAGCAGTGAAGCTGATGGAAGTGGTGCAGAAGCTGGGTAAGTGATATACAATGTTACTCTGTATGTTTTGTGTGTTAAGCAACCAGTGCTTGTCCACTGCGCGCGGGGTTTTTGCCAAGGCTGGGTATGATTGTATTTTATTTTCTGGTACTCTCACGAAAACTGAAGTCATCGCGGCAGTTGCATCCAAAAAGAACAACAAAAAAAAAGAGAGAGAAGAATGCTTGGGATGCGATAGCTGTTGAATACATTCCTTCAAGTACTTGTGTGAGTATGCCTTCAGTGAGGGCATTACAGCGGGGCCGTCAGAGATCTGGAAGAGGTGAAGGGAAAAAAAAATTGAAACCACGCTGTGGTCGGAAAAGGAGTTGGGTACATTCGCAGTAGCAGCGGTACGTGGAATGCCTATGTGAGGGTGTCAACACAATCCGTGGAATGCGCCCTGACTCGCTCTACCGCTACAGTCTTCCCCCGAATACATAGCTGAATTAGACCGAAAGATGAACCAAATTTGGCAATAATGACCGTGCGTTGTATTCGGGGGAAGACTGTAGCCATCAATGAACAGAAGTCTCGTAATTACTTGTCAAGTTCAACCTCACAATGCATCAATGAACATTCACATGAGAGTTCACGCGTGAGAAGTCAAATGGAGATGCAATCAACACTTGAAGATTTTGTCTTCAATATTATTATCAATATACAAGAATGTTTGTCTTCAGCGGCTCTGCCGCACACACACACACACAACGGATCTCGACCAGATAGCGGCTATCGCTTCTCCCCTCTCACTCTCTGACTTGACTCGCTCTGCCTCACTCTCTCTCTTCTCTCTCTTTCTCTCTACCCTGGCTCGTTACCCTGGATACACCCACTCAGGTAGCTTGCACCTTGGCGGCTATGGCGTGCCGTCCTCCTGCCCTACCGCTAGCCTAGCTATGGAGTATCTCTCAAGCACCCTCTTCTTTTTCGGGCGCACAGTGCCCAAGTTGCCTTAACGCACAAGCAGCAGCGCCGCTTCCGCATCTTGCAACTGAAAAAAGTGCTGAGCCGCTGCGCTGTAGCAGCTAAATATAGGACTTAGCTTCGCTGGGCTTGGCTTGGCTTGGCCTGCTTCAGACCGATACCGGGTGGCCGTGGCCTGTCTGCTGCAAACATTTTGTCGGTCCGGTAGCTTCCGGACTTTCCTGGGACATGCTGCAAAATTGGACTTCGGACTGTCGGACTGGACTGGACGCTTCTGGACTTCTGTTGTCGGGTACTGGATGGACTCCTACCGACCTACGATGCTTCAATGCCGACACCTACCGACCTTCTACGCTTCGGCCTACCCTACAGGATGGTCCTGGGACTTGCGACTTGTCGGGACTTTGGGACCGGGACTGGATGTCTGCAGCATGAATCCTTTCAACTTTTACTAGGATAGATGCAAACAACGAGAGGGATGTACGGGAAAATCCCAAGGAGCTTTTGAGTTCGAATATAGTCTTAGGAGGTGTGACTGTAGAATTCACAGCTTCTTTTTTCTTTTTGTTTTAATATTTTTACGAAGAAGAGTTGCAGTTTTATTAAATGATGAACAATGAGGTCGGGAATTCCTTGACATCTCAAGTTGGATAATGCTGGGGCCGTTACCCAAATTAGGCCTGAGCTGGAAACCGTGTCCAGCGCCTCTTTGTCAGCATAGAACGCACTTAAGTTTACTGTTTTGTTTGCTATTGATTTGGAATCGTTCGTCGTGATCGACATTTCAATTTGCAGGCATTGAGCATGAAGATCTGAAGAAGAAGTTTGCGGCAGAGTGCGTGGAGAGGAAACAGCTTTACAACAAAGTCCTCGAGCTAAAGGGTCAGTTGCTGAAATGCCTATTCACAGTTTTTGAAGTTGTGTGTCCTTATGAATCGAACTCGGGAGCCTGATGCGTTACCAGTGGGGCAATTTGCCTTCTGGAAGCGTTGTCATGTTTTGTGTTCTTTGTCGCTTTTTGATGTTTGTCTGTTGCTAGTGATGCTAACTTCGAGCTATTTTCAAATGACACTGCAGGGAACATTCGTGTATTCTGCAGATGCAGACCTCTGAGCGAGGCAGAAGTCAACGCAGGAGTTGCATGTATTACAGAATTCGATACGAATCGTGATGAGCTATTTGTGAGGACCAATGTGAACGGGGCCCCCGCCAAGAGGTACTTCAAGTTCGATCGTGTCTTCGGGCCGGCCGCCACCCAAGGTAAAACGACTGAACCAGTTTTCATATAATTCTGTTTGTCCATGTCTATGCCATCTCAGCCAACAACCTTTGGCAACGTCTATGTATATGCCGTCCCAGCCGCAACCTTTTGAGCTATTTGTGAATAGACATTGCTTGTCGCTGCAGGGGAAGCAAAAGTGGCTGTTGTTTAGATCAGCTGATTTCCGGTTTTGATTTTTAGAGTGTTTGGCTGCAACATCACTGGGGATCTGCAAGAGAACCAGAGCAGAGATCTTACAAGGTGAAAATAGGACTGTATACCAATACAATGTAAAAAATGGATTTTCTGGCTGAGGGCGATTCAGAGGTCGTTGCTTGAATGGTGCGGGGGACGCTGGACACATGCATATCCCATTCAGAGTGGATACACACTGTCACTCAAAGAGCGCGATCAGCAAGGACTGGCATAGCAGGAGCCTAAACGGAAAGCATTAACATCGTGGATGTCGTGCCCCTCTCTCCCCACCTCCGTTCTGACACCGCCAAGGTCCACTGAACTTCCAGACGAAACCTCGGCGGGGGTTGTAGACCACAGATGCAAAGGGCAGGTTGTAGACGACAGCCAAAGACGAATCCGCTGAAAGAGCGGCTAAGCCACAGTTGGTAGCTGTATTTTTATTTCCTGATCCACGCAAACTGCTAGCTACCTGAGGCGACCAGAATATCTGGTAATAGCGTACTTCACAAAGCACACACCTTTACACCACCACTTACATTGCAAACTGTCTGATCAAGCTGGTGGTCAGTTTCCAAGCTGGCCCCCTCTTCTCTGCGAAATTTTGAGGACTTCAATCAAAAAGTCTACCAGGGAACCAACCCATTTCTTTGTAAAACCTTTTTAGCAGAATTGCCTCACGTGGTATCTTTTCGCAACCTGAGGACTTCCTGTTGATCCGAAATAACTATCCTGAATAGCTGCTGCCTTCTGGCTCCGGTTGGACCAAGACACATAGTCCTGGCCTGCCCTGATTGCAAGCTGCTGGCCATTTTTCAGGTCGTTTTTCATTTCTTATCCTTTGAAAGGAGACGACGAAGCGTTGCGGTGCCTGGATCTCCAGAGCGCAGCACAAAATCTCCCCCAACCCTAGACGCATCGTCCATTCTTTCTAATGAAAGGGTCTCGGGGTAGCAGTTATCAAACTCCCGACGAATATCAGTTGCTTTACAGAAAGATGCAGGATCTCTTTTTCTGCGGATCATCCATGAGACATACACGGTACACAAGGCCACTTTTGAAAAACAGTGGAAAGAATCGATTGAGGAAAAGCTTGGTTGAATTCTTAAGCAGAGGGGATAGGCTTCTGGCTGGATCGTCTACATCTGTGGATGATCCCAGGAAGCGAGTCAGAAAATCATTTGCTGTTGCTGGACAGACACTCCCTCTCTCTGTCTCTGGGTATAGGCCGCCCATACCGACAAGATTAGCGTGGCCCCTGTCCAAGGCTGGCGCACGGAAAGTGAGGAATGGTCCGGTTCATTTCTTTTTTTTGGCATGTTAACCGCAGATGCGGAGTAAGCTAGGAGGGGGTGGTGCAGTCTAAGTGAACGGATGGTGTGGATGTTAGTTCTTTGCGCATAACGTTGAGCTCTGTTGATGCAGAACATGTGTAAGCAGTCTACTCTACACTCGTGAGCCGCGTGCTTCCTTTTTTGGTGGGTCTTGGCAGTGGTGCTTCAGGTTTTGGTCTGTTTATCATCATGTTAAGCAACCAATTTGCACTCTAGGCAAAACAAATAGCTGGGCAAATATATTAGAGGCAGCTTTCAGGGTTTGGGACTACCGCACACCAAAATGGTTGGCCCAGCCAGCAAAAAAGAAAAACTGCACCGGTTCGTTTTCTTTTTGTTGTGTTTTTTTTGCCGTGCAGCACAATTTGGGTTAGGAAAAACAGCACCAATTTGCACTCTAGGCAAAACGAATAGCTGGGCAAATATATTAGTTGCAGCTTTCGGGGTTCAGGACTACCGGACGGAAGTGGTTGGCCCAGCCAGCAAAAAAGAAAAACTGCAGCGTTTTTTTTTTTTCTGTTGTTGTTTTGCCGTGCAGCACAATTTGGGTTGGGGAAAACAGCCTTGAATGTAGTTGTGCTTTAAGAAGAAGCCTCTGGTTTGGAGGGTAAAGGAATATGGCAGATCATCCTCGATCTCTTGTGATCTGCGTTCATTGCCAGGACGATCTTAGACATGTGCCGTGCGGTGTCTTGTGCCGTGCGATGTTTGAGAATGAATGAATTTTTCCTTGATGTGGTGGTAAAAACGGAGTTATGGCACACAGCCTTGTTGTGTTCGTTTGTTCCTTCGTCATCCATGACATTATGATGGATGGCATGTTTTTTCTCATGCGGTGGTCTTGTGCAGATGAAGTATTTGCGGACACAGCACCTGTGGTGACGTCCGTCCTGGACGGCTACAATGTGTGCATTTTCGCATACGGGCAAACGGGAACGGGAAAGACTTTTACCATGGAAGGCACGGAAGACAATCGGGGAGTAAATTATCGGACACTGGAGGAGCTGTTTCGTATTGCTGGGGAGAGGGAAGGAAAGGCCACATATGAGATCAAAGTTAGCGTTTTGGAGATTTACAATGAGCACATTCGAGACCTACTGGCGCCGCCACCCCAGTTTCCAGCCCCTCCTAAGAAGTAAGGATGTAACTAGTACGCCGAGAGCCCGGAACTTGCAGCCTATCATACGGCTTCTTCTTCATGCACATCTTTGTGGCTGGTGAGGGACATGGTGCACTTCTTCTGGAGGTGTTCCCAGTTTATCGAGGTGGTGGGGTTCAACAGAGACCACTGATCTGAAACACGGGGAGGAAGTAATAAAAATAGTGATTGGGAAATCAACAGTATCTCCGTCGAACGCGTGGCTTTGGTTTTGATTACGTATATACCATGATCTTCCACGTCTTATAGGTATTCTGAAAATGTGAGAAGCTCAGTGCATGCAGCAAATCGGCAAGTAACACTTAAGAGACAAGTAACACTTAAGAGACAAGTAACACTTTGAGACAAGTAACACTTAAAGAGACAAAGTAACACTTAAAAGACAAGTAACACTTAAAAGACAAGTAACACTTAAGAGACAAAAGTAGCACTTAAGAGACAAAAGTAACACTTGAGAGACAAGTAACACTTAAGAGACAAGTCACACTACAAGTAACACTTAAGAGACAAGTCACACTTAAGAGACAAGTCACACTTGCGTAAGAGAAGTCACACTATAGATTATCTCTGCACGCAAAGCTTCAAAGCAAAGTACAAAGTACGTTTGATTGCATGTCCGGTGGGTAATGGCTACCCCGACCGGTTTCGACCGCCACCACGCAGTTGTCCTCAGGGGGCTTACCACCTTCTTAGACCGGTGTCTAATCCACCTTTCCACAAACCCACTTCCGCTGTTGACGGTAGGACATCTCCGGAAACATCCGCGGTCTATTAGCGTCAGACCCAAATCGGAAAAAGACCGACGAACACGCAAATTCTCCTACATATACTCACCTAATATCAGACTTACTTACAGTCACTACTGAGAGTGACGGACCTCAGAGACTACCGTATACTCACCTAATATCAGACTTACTTACAGTCACTACTGAGAGTGACGGACCTCAGAGACTACCGAGACACGGTCACGTTAGGCGGGACTGTCCGAACGTCCCATAGTCCCTGTCCGTTCCAAAGTATAGTCCCTGTCCGGTTCTTCCCATATACCGTCCCCTACCCCCGTTCGTTCCAATGGGTCGTACCTTAGTACCTTTCCGAATTCTTCCAAAGTACCATCCCATATTCCCTGTCCGAATTACTCCACAGTAATGTCTCCGTACGGATTCTTCCAATGCACTGCCCCATGATCATGTCCGGATTCTCCCAAAGTACCTTCCCATCTTTCATGTCCGAATTCATTCAAAGTACGGTCAAATAGTCCCAGTCTAATCCTGCCAATGTCACGAACGAGCGTACTAGTCTTAAACTTCACCTGTTTAGTAAACAGTTAATCCTACTATTATCAAGAAACCGGCATTCCTCAGACAAACATTTGAATCCAAGTACAATCCTAAACAATCTTAGCAAAACAAACATATTACTGCCATACAATCCTCTGCCTAGTGTCAGCAGTCTGGGTACAACCAGGTTCGGATCGACTCCCAGCAAGGATCTCGTCCCTTCGCAAATGTCTTCAGCACCATGTTCAGGAATTGCCCGGGGAAATCCTTGAGTCTCAAGTCACGGGCTACACTCAGGACCCTCGTGGGCAGTTGCGACCGGATCATAGTATGTTAATCCAGTCGGTGCAAGTAGCTGGTCACAGTGGCGCTCTTCTGGCACTTACTACGCCAAGAGTGTTAGGATTGCCCATTCTGAAATTCCAACTGCTCGAGATCCCAAATACTCCGCTCGACGCTCGTTCTTCGTCATCTGCACGCATCCAAGGTAGGGAAAGGTATTATTCAACACCATCTTCAAACCCAGGAATCGCTAATAGACGATTCCTAAAGAGGACAGACGACGGCTCTAGAGCGGAGTTGGAGCCGTCGTCTGTCCTCTTTAGAGTCAGGTTGTCTGGATAGCAAGACTCAAAAGTTTTCGTCCTGATAGCTTTAACAGATTCGAAATTACCCTTCTCTCTTGTCGTCACTATCAGGCTAACATCATCCATCAATCGCAGTCTATGCAACTTGTTCCTGCTCTTACCCAAACTGTTCAGGAACTTGTACTCAAGCGTGAGCACACAAGATGCAGGCTAATGGCGGGCTGCTACTTTTTCCCATAGGAATGCCCACCACTTGCCTCATAAGCACGCTAGTAGCTTTAACAGATTCGAAACTACCCTTCTCTCTTGTCGTCACTATCAGGCTAACATCATCCATCAATCACAGTCCATGCACCTTGTTCCTGCTCATACCCGTTCAGGAACCTGTACTCAGCGTGAGCACATGAGATGCAGGCTAATGGCAGGCTGCTACTTTTTCCCATAGGAATGCCCACCACTTGCCTCATAAGCACGCTAGTAGCAAAAGTGTAGGTGTGTCTCAGCTCGAAACACACAAATTTTATGATGATGTCTAGATCGAGTGTTCTTCAGTGATCGTCACCCGTCGTACGGCCGAAGGTGCATCCCTTGCCTCTGGAATTTACCCTTACACACTGCCTACCTTTCTCCTTGTGGTATTTAATGATCCACTCCACTACGTTCACAATATATCCTCATGAGCGAGCTTACTGAACATATCCTTGGTATCATAAGACATCGCAGATATTTAAATTCCCTCTCTCATCTTACGATCGATCTTTTTGTTGATCGATCCGACGTTGTGTGGTACGGATGCAACAGATCTGAGATTGAAGTGCCATCCATTGGGTAGGGCGTTCAAAAGGTGATGAAGTGCCTTTGCTACACATTTGCAGGTGCACACCGTAGGTTCGGAGAATGTCGGGCAAATAGGGCGGTAACAGCTCAGATCTTTGTGTTTTGGTAGGACATACGCTTCTCCTATCGTGCCTTTTATTGTCCCGTTTTGCAAACTGTTGGAAGCCCTTTTTCTCTAGATCTCGTCTCATCTTCTCCTTAATCTCAGTCTCAGAGTGAGTCTCACACACATATCCGGGGATCTTCACGAAGGTGTCCAACATGGCCTCGTGATAGAGCCTAGGACATAGGACGAGTGTCTCACCAGGATTTCGGTCTAGAGGTGGCGTCACTAAACCCGTAAATTTTGCCCGTACCAGCTTTACTTCCCGAATGTCCAGATACTTAGTCCCGCTCTCATTCCTCACCATCATACACTTCTTGACGTCTTCTCGTGTGATAGACACCCTGCAATCTTTACCCTTAACCCACTGGTGGAATGCATTACANGGGTGAGTGGGTGAGTGGGTGGGTGAGTGGGTGAGTGGGTGAGTGGGTGAGTGGGTGAGTGGGTGAGTGGGTGAGTGTTGAAGGGGTGAAAAAAAGAGGACGGATAGAGGGAACAAAGGAGAGAAACAGAGGACAGGAAGAAGGATAAGAGGAGTGAAGGAAGCGAGTAATAATGAGGGAAGTAGGGAAGGGAAAAATGATGGAGGTACAGGAGGAAAGCAAGAGAAAACAGCAGAGAGGTGAAAGTGAGATCTCCGTTACTCACCCTATTGAAGTCGTCTATGGCTTCATCCAGCCTACCTGTGTTTACCTGTTGTATTGAAAACCAAAGACAGCAGACGAACAGATATGAATGTTCAAGAACACCTCAGGAGTTTGACATTTGCCTCAGTAAAGGACTCATTCCAATAGACCCTCAGTCATCGTCTAATTCCAATACCAGGGGGCGGGGGGGGGAAAGGGGGGTTGTTGTTGCTGTGGGAGGGGGGGTGTAGAAAGAAAGACTCAATTGGTATCCCGCACCTTATCAATCCCCTCGCTCAGTGCCCTTTCAAGCTCCGCCACATCCATGAAGTTCCCCTCTATCTCAACGTTTCTGGCATTTGAATTATTCCTGATGAGTGAAAGATGATTCGCTTGGCTATTCTGATTTGCTCGGCAATTGGAAATAATCTGCCTGGCAGAAGAGGTTGACGCTCCTGATCCGCTCCCAATCAAATTCTGGTTTGCTTCTGATATCGATGGTGAAGCTCTTGTCTGTGCCATAGGTTCTGCTTGAAGGGTACCGCTCGCAAGCTCTTCCAACTCCAGGCACAAATCCAAATCCTGGATTCCGGAAGAGGCAAACTGTGCACCATGTTGCCAACTTTGCTGCGCTTCGAGATTTCTCCGTAAACGCATCAACGATTGGCCTGCCCAGGATTTTGGATGACACCATGTCCCCGCCCCCACCCAACAAAGCAATTATCCCATATGATGAGTACTCTTTGCAAAGTATCGATGCTGTGGATAGCTCGGTCTTATCCTCAGTAGTGCACTGGACTGGGAGGCTTGGGAATGCTCCCCTGGAAGTATTCTAGCAGAAGGCAGGAACCAGCATACACCTCTTCTTTCACATTTTGCAAGTATCCTCACCTCCTTCCTCTCCCAAAAGAAATAGGAAAAGAAACAAATTGCACAAGCAATAGACAGAAAGTTAAAACTCTTCCAGCTCCATTGAACAGCTCCCGGCCCTGACCTTCCATGCAATGCAGGCAAGAAATGCCAAGAATGTGCCCTCGCCGCTGCAAGTTGTGAGCACTTACCAAATTTGCAAAGTGAGAATGAATTTTCCCCTAGAACATGGAAAGATACAGCGCCATATTTTTTGTCTTTTTTTGTGCAGTTGGTGAGTGGTGCGGGGGTGCCCTGTGCCTCCAAAGACATCAATGTGACTAACTGAGCGAGGGGTATGAGATCACACGGAATGCAGCATTCTAGTAAAGACACGAATACGTCAAAAACCTTTCTCAGGGCCTTATGGTCCTGGCTCCTTCTATTCTGGGGAGCGTCAGTCCGGTTCCTATTCCACCGGCAAGTCAAAATATACAATACAACAATTATCAATCACACACGCTTCCTTCCGTCTGGCCGAAGGACCCCTGAGCAGCATTGATTGCTCCATCCCGGGAGGATTGACTGTCAGCTTGCCTTGTCCCTCTCTTTCCTCTCAGATCCGGAAACCAGATCTGTCAGATAAAGCATTTGACCCTAGAAAGAGCACGCCTGTTGTGCTTATCCAACCTCGTCCTTCCCTATACACCACTATTGCCCCCCTTTGGACAGTCAACCGTATTTCTTTGGAACCTACACCCTCAGTCTGCAGTCTTGTCGTCCCCGGTCATCAAAATTGGACCCTGGCAGGGAGCTCGTTAGCTTCCGGATCTCTGAGAAGGGACCATCCTTTGTGGCCCCGTTCGTGTCCTCCTTGTTCCACGTCATCTGTAAGCCCTGGGTTATGTTTATCCTCTTGCAGCCTAGGACGTGGTTAAGCCTTCCAGCGACGTCTGATGTTGGAAGTCCCTTTCTGGAATTGAATTATGCCATTTCTCCCAGCATACCCGGTCCTGTTGCAGTTCTCCAATCTTGCCATCAACCAGCCAAGTCCTGTAGAATCTCTGCCTTTCCTTGTTCCGCTGATCTTCGTCTTCGGTCCAGGCTCGTTTGGTCTTCCGCCATCTGCGAAGGATCCCGGCTTGAATCATTGTTTTAGTTTCTAACCACACTTTCTCCCTTTCATATGTTCGGCTGCATCTCTCCTTCCATATGACCCATAGAGTCACCTTCCTGATGAGTTCAAACCAGGACCTCTCAGCCTTCCGAGCCTCATCAGGAGCTGGATGTGAATTCTCTTTTCATCTGATTGCATCTGGATGCGAACCTGGGTCTGTATTTCAACAGCGCACTGGTATACCAACTGAGCTAGGCCCATTTGTAACTGAATTTGAATTCTATTAGGAAGTGGATGCCAATTTATTAGGTGTTGTCCTCCTTGTTCTGAAGTCCACAACGTTGTTTCTAATCGCGGCTGGGATCATGCGAATTATTTTTTGTCAAAGGAATCACAACGAGTCTACCAGCTGACCATTAGTTTTTGACTTTTTTGCGATTGTTTTTTGCAGGCTTGAAGTCAAGCAAGGGCCGGATGGTGGCCACTGGGTACCTGGTCTCGTTGAGACCGAGGTCACTAAGTTGGATGAAGTTTGGGGTGTGCTTCAGAGCGGCAGCAAGAACAGGGCTGTTGGGGCAACGAACTCGAACGAGCACAGCAGCAGATCACACTGGTGCGTATGTTTGCGAGTGCGGCATAAAGCACATGCTGTTTCCTTTTCTGGGTCCTCCCTCAATGGCGCACTCTCTGATAGTCGATAACAGTGCTATGTTTTCCGTCGTCAGGTACATGGAAGCTTTTGCAACCGAATGTTGCTTATGTGCGCAAGCAAACGTCCTTTTGACAGGGTGGGGGGTGCATCTGGGTGGTGGCTCTTTCAGTTTTTGCTCTTCTTGTTGTTCTCTTCTCCTTTTTACCTCTGAAAAAAGTGCTGGCCCCTCTTCTTCTTTATTAGCCTTTGTTGAATCTTGACCCATGGCTTGGTGAATTCTGATTTTGGGGGGTTGGTGTGAATACGGTCAGGACAAAAAGTCCATCAGCGGTTAGCGCCAGTTCATGGGGATCATCAAGCAACAGGTCTGACTGTAGCACCACCCTCCGCCCTCCTTAGTATCGGTACTGATCCCTTGCCATACTGTGTGAGTAGTTGCTATTTGTTCTGCTCTGTGCTAAGTTCTACGGTCGATGAATGGGCTAAGCGTTTAATGTCAAAATGTTTTTTTTTTTTTTTTTTTTTTTTTTTTTGGGCCCGATCGAGATCCCGTCATCATGGCTATCTTCCAGTCCCTGTCCACATCAAGGTCCTTTCAATGGGGAGATAAAGCCATT